CCTTCTAGTAAACCTCTTCTAAACCCTTTCCAACAATTCAATGTCCTTTCTAAAGTAAGGAGCCAAAGACTGAACACAATACTCCAAATGTGACCTAACCAGTGACCTATACAAAAAATTATAACCTCTTTTGACTTGTATTCAGTATTTCTGTAGATACAACCTAAAATCCTATTTGCCCTACCACTAGAACAGCACACTGCTTGAATGGCTTTAGAATCTGATCTACCATTACATCAAGATCCCTTTCTTTCATGACACTGTTAAGGTTATTCCCAACAAATTTATATTTATAAATCAAATTATGCATTTATCATAATTAAAACCAATCTACCATTTATTTGCCCAACTCACTAAATGATCTAAATACTTTTGTAAAGCAGCAGCATCCTCTTCACAGTTAGAAACACCAAAGACCATAATATCATCTGAAAATTTAAGTAATTTATTGACCATACCTTCATTTATGTCAATGATGTAAATCAAAACGAGCAAAGGACCTAAGACTGAGTCCTGAGGTACCCCACATGTAACATTAATTCAGTTTAACTGAACTCCATTTATACCAACCCTCTGCTTTCTTCCATTCAGCAACTCTTATATGCAATTAGTTAATCTATCCCCACACCTATAATTATGTTTTTACAAGCTTTTTATTTGGCACCTTGTCAAATGCTTTCTGAAAATCCAAATACACCAAATCTATACCCTTACCATCATCTACATAAGCAGTAACCTTTTCAAAGAATGTCAAAAGATTTGTAAGGCAAGATTTCTCATGGTAAAAACTATGTTGATTATCCAATAAAATTCTAAACTTTGTTAAATGACTTTGCAAAGCATCTTTTATCAGACTTCACAAAAGTTTCCCCACTACTGATGTAAGACTAACAGGCCTATAATTACTAGTACAAGTTTTATTACCTCCCTTAACACTAGCTAACCTCAAATCCTTTGTCATCTGCCCACTATTCAAGGACTTATAAAAAAAAAAAAAAAATAGTAGCAAGTGGCTCACATATCCAATCCTTAACCTCCTTCGAAACCATTGGGAAATATTATCTGGCCCAGGAGCCTTATTGTTCTTTAAACTTCCCAATTTTTTCTTAACAAGCTCAGAATTAATGGAATTTTCTTGTTTTGATCTATCAACTGTTCAAGATGAGGAATACAGTTTAAATCTTTATTAGTAAAACTGAAGAAAAAGCAAAATTTAATAGCCCAGCCATCTCATAATCATCAGATACAAGCCTTCCTCTATCATCCTTCAAGGACCCTACCCCCATCTTAAAACTTTGTTTACCCTTTAACATATTTAAAATAATCGTTGCTGTTCATTTTTACATTTTTCATACATCCTTTTTGATGTCATGTCCTGTTTGACCAACTTTCTTGATCTTCAATAATGTCCCATAATACCAGTCACTTTAAGTCTTAAATTTATGATGCTTTTTTAAAATTTTATCTCTTATATCCTTTGTGAGCCAATCTAGTTTTTTTACTTGCAGCAACCCTTTTCTTTCTATAAGGAATATGTTTATCTTGAATATTTAAAAATTTATCTTTAACAATTTTCCACATTCGATCAGTGTCTCCAAATAACTCAGCTGCCCAATTCACAAGATAATTCTTGTCACATCCCTTCAAAATTAGTTTTTGAAATTTGGGATCAAAATATAATTATTCCTAATCTACAAATGCAGTAAAATATCAAACCTAATAGAGAAATGATCACTTGCACCCATATGTTCCCCAATTTCCACCCTCTCAATATTTTCTGCATTAGAAGTCAACAATAAATTATGCATGATATTTATACCTCTTAATGAAGAATGACTAAAGAAACTAAAAGAAGATATAAAGAGTAAAAGACAAAGTGAAACCATAGATTCACCCCATAGGATGGATGAAGAATGCAAAATGATACCTAAACAGCTATGAGTAGGTGATGGACTGGGTTATCATAGAGACTGTTATCAAAACTTCACAAAAACCAAGACAGGCTACCATCATCTCAAACTTCTGAAGCTGCAACAGTTTCTTCATCCTGCATAGTAATTAGAAGACCTTCCTCTACTCCTACTACCAATGATAGAGTCCTCTTCAGTCAAGACTGCATATTTTGTAATGTAGTTGGCTAAAAAGATATGCAACAAAGGTGTCAGGATGTAGGAAACTACAACCACATTTGCTTATGGTGGGAATAAAGCAGTAATAAGATCACCAAAAAGAACAGGTGATGAGAACTTGCTCACAAGACTTCAAGGAGTCGATCTATATGCTGTGGAGGCACGGTACCTGAAAGGTGTAGAAGAGAATATAAACAGGAAAAGAAACAAGTGAAGATCAGAAGAGAAAAAACGAACAGTATAAACTATACAAGGCCCATAAACATGCTTTCAAAGAGTGTTGGATGAAATAGTAAAGAGGAGGCAGTGGTGACAAACTGATCATCAAAAGACCAAGCACAGAGAAAAACTGAGTAAAGTTTTTGTATAATGAAGAAAACAAAGAACAGGTGTGGTCAAGCAAAAGCTTTTTGAATTAAATGCATGGTAGAAGAGTGATTCTTGTGAAGGAGGTAAGAGCATTTGATATGTCAGAAAATGAGAGATCAGTGATTCCAGGACTGAAGTCAAATCAATAAGAAACTGACTTGAGAGTAATACTGTAGTGTAAATATGCTGCGAAACATAAATATGAGTATGTGAGAGTTAAAACACCATACAGTGACATCTTGCTCTATTATGCAAGAAAGATCAACACCACAATTTTTTATGGCAAAGGATTTGGAAACAGGCATTTGATTAACATTATAAAGCTGTCAAATTACTATTCATCTTCTATGTGCAATGCATTACTTGGACTTCATGCCATCATACAGAGAGATTCAATAAGAGCTTTCTAAAGAAAAGGAAAAGTGAGGCCCCTAAAATACTCCTGAAATCACCTGCTTTTAGTTGTATTTTGCAGCAGTTAGGTGAAGGTTGGAATGTCACAGATGATCTTACCAAAGGCCTTGAAAATTTTGTCTGTGCATTCTATTGCAAACAGAAGTTTGAAAGTGTTGATGCCCTGCACCATTTCATGCTTAAATCAAAGTGCAATGATGATGTATCAGCAGGCAATCAAAAACATTGATTTGTCAACACTGCCTACAACAAGAGCTTGCCTTGAGCAACATACTCATAGAATTAACTATCAAGTATGGATGTTGAAAACAGCAGATATAGCCATATCAGAACTACCAAAGCCATGAGATTAATTGTTCGTCTCTAACCACCCAAGGGTCAACCCACCTCCTCTTGAACACCTGTCATGGACAAACAAACAGCCTCCAAAAAATATCTCTTAATATGCACTATTCTCCCAAAAAAACTATAATATACTATAAGTGACAGAATAGCCTACCCAAACAAAACTCACATAGCACCTATGCACAAAACACAATCTCTCAGCTGACTATAGTTTAGGATATATAAGAATAAATACATTTCATATTACAATATATGAGTGTTAACTGTAAGATTTTAAATAGCCTAAAACATTTTTCATGATCCAGTATAAAGATATGTGTGTGTAAACAAAATATATATAGACATATTAATAAATAGATTTTTTTATTCAAAAATAGTATATTACTACTACAAATATATCTGTGCAATTGTTGTTTGATGTCGTTTTTAAAATTTGTATTATAAGAAGATTATGATGTCAAAATTGTTCACTAGTTCTTCAATTATTAAATTTCCCTATCTTCGACCACTGTATGTTCAATATCTTTGATTAAAGATTTACACATAAAAACTATTTATTACATTTTAAATATTTATGTATCCTTTATTTAGATTAACAAAATAAATATTGTTACGACAGCGGAAGTCACGTGACGCTAGTAACAAGTCATGATATTCTAGAAGAATCATGTCTGTTCGTGGCAACTCTGGTTTTTTCTACGCGCCCTCTATTCTTGTCTATAAGTGCGCCAGATAAAGAGAAATTAATTAATCGGAATAGAATTGCAGACAGACAGAGACGGACAACTGAGTCAAGCATGGTAGTGGCCGTAAGTAAAGTGCATGAATCGTTGTGAATTCTAGCGTGTGTTTAAGTTAAAGTGACTGTGGAAATTAAGTGTATGGCAAAGTTGAATTGAGAAAGAATAAACTAGTTTTATTTATGAAAGGACTTGTATCGCTGAAGTTTCTTGAAAAGAATTTCTTCGGAAAATTAACAAACAAACACAGAGACGTAACAATATGATACAGAAGCCAACTATGTAAACTTTTTAAACTTTCAATGTTTACACAAAAGCTCGTTGTTAGACTTAGTTTTAGTTGTTCTAAAAATGTTTAATGTATTTGTCTAGCTGTAATATATAATTTTACTCAAAATACACTTATATGTAGTATTACAGAAGACCTTCAATGGCTATGTATCCCCTCAATTTAAAAAATTACAGGTAACACTTGATTTCATCACAAAGAAGTTTTATTTCTCCTAAAAACTCAAATAATCTGACACATTTTTTAAACACAGGATACAAGTGAAATTCTAAAAAAAAATCAATGGAAAATTCAATTCTATTATTTTTCTAGTTTTTTCAAGTATTTTTAGTACCTCTTAAAACAATTTTCAAATACTCAGGAATGCAAAAAGAAATGATACACAGTGCAATCAGTGGCAATGTAAAAAAGAAAATGATTAAAAAATATAATAGATATTTCAATAGTTATGAAAAAACATGTGATATTAATACTTATAGTAGTAAACTTCAATACCAATATTCTTTATGTTACTTGAGAAACTAGTGAGTTTCAGAGTTTGCTGTACAACATTGTACAGTGATTATTTTGCTAATAACACTTTCTTAAAATATATATATATATGTGTGTGTATATTTACTGAAATTAAAAAAATTTGTATGAACCTCAATAATACTATGAAAGTCAAGTGTAAGATAGTAAAATCGTTTTTATTTCATTTGTCATTACTGTTTCTGTGCTTGTAAAAGAATGTATCTGAAACATCTGAAGTCATTAGGCAAACAACACCTCATTTACAAAAGTCACAGTGAATTTTTTATTATGGCATACAGAATCCATAGTGTGTTATTCTTCCATCTTCTCTATGGCTTTAAGTGCGGATCTGAAAGAAGAAAATATTATGATTACTAATGCTACCAACAGACGAATTTATAGCATAAAACAAAGTGTGAATAAAATACTAAGAGTTACTCCTAAGAGCTCGTTTCTTTAACTTATTATTTTTTGTTGGAATAAAGCAAATGATTCTCCTTATGAATTATTAAAGTATCAGCTACTGGTCTTCTACAATTCTATATATTGAGAAAGGTGTACAAATGCCAAATGTTATGCGAGGATTATTCATTGTAATTCTTATACATTCATAGTCTTCAAGGGTCAATAAAAATTAATTACAAATATAAATGTTGGAGGTATACCACACTCTACAAAACTTAAAATTCATAAACACATAAAATGGGATAGAGAAAACCATCATTTAAAAATACCACATGATGTAACGTTAATAGTGGCAAAACATTGTTTTTAAATGATGCATTTTTTTCTATCCCATTTTAGCTGTTTTAGTTTTAAAGAATTAATTACATCCAGGGGCGGATTGGGATGGCTAAGCGGCCCGGGACTGGGATCACAGAGTGGCCCTGGACAGGTTTTCTGTTAAACTTTTTATTCCGATGATAAAGTGAATTAAAAATTAATTATGAGATTTAAAAAAATCTATTGTTGTTCTATTGAGTCATTCGATTATAATAAATCCAACAAGAAAAGAATATTCAACAACTATTAAACTGTATGTTAACATCATAATTAAAAACAACAATTATTATCACATATCACTAAAGAATGTCAAGAAAAGAAAAAAGCAAGAATAAGTAAGAAGCAAATACCTTGTAAGCGTTTTGATAAAATAATACTCACATGATAGTTCATATAGATAGTTCATATTACGTAATTGATTGCCCAGCGCTGCATTCATTCATTCAGTGAGACACCTACTTATTAG